AAGCTTCATCAACTTAATTGAAAGTGGAGGATCATAATAATAATAATAACTTGAAAAAATGAAAATAAATAGCAGAACGTTTTACTGGTACTATACAAATCTGAGCTTATGTAGATTGGAAGTGTCTTAGAAGTTCTATAATGCCAGATATCTAGCTAGTTGTCTTCAGTTTTTTTGTTTCTGGTTACATGAGATAAACAATATTCCTACACACACAAAAGAGGAGTGGGTTCTATCATTTTTTTTCTCTTTTCTCGTACCTGTGAGTCTTACTTATAATTTTATTTCTACAACATGAGATAATTTCTTTCTTATAACATAAGAAAAATATTTTTCTTTTTTATTGATTAAATATTGGAATGAAAAGGGTTTTGGTTTCGTCTTGCAAGAAAAAATTTTTCCTGCAACAAAAAATGACAAGTTAAATAATAATGAAGAAATTGAAAGAGAGTATTCAATAATTTTGTTTTGTTGGTAGTGTTACATGACATGAATCTTTCTTTCTGTAACATGATTGTTATTTATTCCAAAAAAAAAAACATCCTTATATTTCAGGATTTTCTCCCCCTTTATTTTCAACTTTGGTGGTAATGAAAAAAAATACAACAAACACAAATCTAACAAAAAAAAAAAAAGTTACCAGCATTCTTCTATGTAGGGAATCTATAAACTTTTTAATATCCTTCAATAACCAACTTAAAGTTATTCTTTGTCAGGCATTACTTTCAAGTTCCACAATTTACAAACTTAATGTGTTATTACTATAATCAAATGCGCAATTCACAGCCAAAAATAATAAATTTCGTATTTTTGATAAATAATCTATGTAAGCATTGATATAATAATAATAACGTAGAAATAATTGGTTTTCTACCTTCAATTATTTATTTATTTTTTCTAGAAAAAATATAAGAGCTATATATTCTGTCAAGTATACCAGAAAAAACGGGCTGGGCCAATTCAATTCGAAAACAATCTTAGTGGATAAGAAAAAGCCCATGGATCAGTTTTGGGTAGGCCTTGTAAGCCCAATAGCCTCCAATGTTAACCGGATAAATGGTTAACATATGCGCATGTATTCCATGCCTTTTCTTCATTTTCTATCTTATATATATGGTTTCCATTCTATCATTTAACATGACCACAAAAAATTTCCTACACACACAACATTTTGTGGAGCCCACATGTTTTAAAAAAAAAAAACTCTGGCACGCAAAACGAATCTCTGTAACATAACACAATCATCTTTCCTACAACATAACTCTTATAAAACTATATATATATATATATATATATATATATATATATATATACACCAATCTTAACTGTTTCTTTGAGGCAAGTCGGTCTTCGGATATTTCTACAAGCTTCAATTTTTCTTCTCTAAAAATGTATTTGGTGGGAATCAAACCCAAATTCTCTTCTCATCTACTAAATTTGTATTACCAATTGAGCTATTTTCTACCATTTTAGCTTTGGATGAATTTTACTCTTTATTTGAAGTTATTATGGCAACGCCAGGCATAATAGTGATAGCACTCGTGAAGGAAAACATTACTGGTTGGACTAAGATTTTGAAGAACTATATAATATGTTACTAATGTTAGCGGTTATATATATGGTAAAATAATTTCTGCAGCCGCTTTACATACAGCAACGACAAGTGTATGGGATGATTTCTCATATTTAATGCTTTCATCTTTGTATGATTATGATTTCCTGCATTTAATGCTTTCAAGTATAGATATGACAAGTATTTGATTGCTACAAGTACAACAGCTGCAGAAATGTAAATTCCTATATATATATATATATATATATATATATATATATATATAGGGGCAAGATATTCTTACACCGGTGTAAGAGTTAGAAGTCTTACACTCAATCTTGATCATTGATCCACTTGTATCCAATGGCTCACATTACTAAAAAATTAGAACCATTGGATATAAGTGGGATCAACGGACAAGATTAAGAGTGTAACTTACACTGGTGTAAAATGATTCTGACCCATATATATATATATATATATATATTATTTTTTAATATTTTATGATGTTTTCGAAAAATTTAGAGGCTATGGCCTCTCTTTTTTCTGAAAAGTAATTATTATTATAAAAATTCCCGTCAAGCTTCAACCATAGTAAAATTAAAATTCAACCAATGTTCCCCACTAGGATATTGTAAGAATTTCTCTTAGATGGAGTTCCCTTGGTTGATTCTTTTGTTTATTGAAAACTAGGTTAAATGGTAATTTGATGTTTTTGAAATCCATATTAATTATTCTTATGATCAAATGAATCAAAAAATTCTTGTTTATTTGGGACCCAAAACATAAATGTATCTTGATGTTGTATGAGACCAATATGATAAGTAAGACCCATGGGCCATGGTATTGGATCTATACTGCGTGAAACCAAGACAAAATCTCATAAGGTCATTTCACCTCCATCTTGATATGCGTTGTTTTCATAAGACCTACATGTCATATATGATTTAAAAAAAAGAGAAAGAAATGAGAGGAAAATTCCGTACATGCACAAAGTTGTGTACCATTTTTTAATGATTTCAAAAAATAAATTCATAGTATAATCAAGATACAAATGTTTTGACACATTAGTGTTTAATATCATATATACTGATTTGATGTTTATTAAAATATGATGTTGATGGTACAATTTTGGAATTCATGTCATTAGTAGTGAATTCAATATTAATAAAAGTTGGGTTTTATTAATCTCCTTCCACATAAGATAGTTATCTTATGTGGTAGAGAGAAAATGAGTGGGTCCCACCATTACAAGAAAAAGGAAAAAAAAGAAAAAAGTGAAATGCGAAAATCGAAGTGAGAGAAAATGAGATAAGTTACCTCATGTAAAAGGAGACTAATATTTCCCATAAAAGTTATATTGAGAGTAGTTGTTTAGTTGATATAGATCAAGAGATATGCACCGATGTGGGTTGCTGCAGTAGTTAGAAGTGGTTATTTGAAGTCTAAGGTTGAAATTTCGATCCTTGGAAAAGTAATTTTAAGAGCCTTTTGACCTTTATCACACTTGAGTTGAATTGCAAAACAATATATATCTAAAAAAAAAATGTAACCAAAAAAAAATATAAAAAAAAGTACTTAACCATTTCTTGATATTAATTTGATGACTTTATTATTCTAATGTTACATAAGAAATAAACCATCTTCTATATATATAAATTCAAGATAGATCTTATTTTATTTTTATTTTTCTCTCCTCGACAATGGACTCCACATGAAAAAAATAAATTGGATATAGAAAACTGTTACCCTTAATTTAATGCTAAGGCTAGGAAATAATTTAGGGAGCGTTTGGTAGATGAGAAATTTTTTTTTAGCTGAAAATCTCAATTTTTAAAAATATAAATTTTACATTCAGTTTACATGATATTCGAAAATAAAAATTTAAAAAAATTTAATTTTTCAGAAATCCCAAAAAATACCGCGTACCAAATGTCACTTAAAGAAGTGCTAGCATGTCATTATGCTGCAGGAATAGCCAACCACCAGATAGAGCCAAGTATATGCACATACCACAGTTCTTTCATGTCACCGTCATTTATTCTTATGAGTCTATTTCTCTAAGTAACATTTGAAACGTGAGAATCAGATGTGCAATTCAAACCTATTTGGCTAACATTTTATCAACTCTACTGCATAATTTCTCTTCTTCAGCAACTAACATCTAGCTATAACCTAATTTTAGTTCATCAACTCTAACACACTACATTAACTAATGGGGCAACGTTTAAATTCGATTTATAACTGTAGAGATTCTTTATTCCTATTTTCATGAACTAATTTTATTTTTCTCAGAGAAAAATGCAGTTCACACTTTGCACATTACAAAATGGAAACATAGTCTCCATATGAAAAAAATATCAAATTAATTACTTTTTATCCGTTAAGTGTACAAATTATTTTATAAATCAAATTTATTTAAGAGTTTTTCATTCAATTTACCAAAAGAAAAGTATTTCTTTTATGGAATAGATATCATGTTAAAATTTTATATGATTTGATCATGTGAAATTTTTGTATATATTTATTTCTTCATTAATGAACCCCATCTATTTAGTGCATATGAAGAGAGCCATAGATATAAATTTTTTACATGATCATATAAATTTTTAACATGAAAATATTCACTCCTTCTTTTATGCATAGGCCTCTAATAAGATTGTCACAACCTAACGAGTGTAGTTGATAACACATGTTGAGTAACTGAGCTTATTTTCGGTACAAGTGAATTACATACTCCTTTGTTAATAAGAAAAAATATGGGATATGAAAGAAATTATAAATATGACTGTAGTGTAAAAGTGTTACTTTTCGTCAATTCTAATAAACAATATATTAAGTATTCAGCATAGCGGGAGTACTAAAAGCATTTGCTTCTAAAGGGATGACCAGCTTCAATTGTAATTAAATCTTGACTCGAAATTAAGTTTATAACGGACTCAAAAAAATCTTATATAGGAATATCTAAAAAAAAATTGTCACACATTACACATTTTCTTACAGGAAATAAATATTTCCTTTGTTTGCGCATAAAAGAAAACCTCAGGACCACAAACAAACTGGAACTAGATAATAATCATCAGAAATGAGTCAGTATCCCACTAAAAAGGAAAACAAAGATTTTAAATCCATACATAAATGGAATATCAATTTATTCACATAAATTCACCCAAAATCAACTGCATATGAATTTCCATTTCTGCATAAAAGAAAAATTAATGAAGAAAAACTTTCTCATTCCAAAATCAAAGGCCGGTGAGATGATAACTTACCTAATTGCTTATTACTTACACACATATATGAATTTTAAGTAACGATATACAGTTAAAAATAAAAAAAGTTGACAAAATGTAATCAAATTTAATAAGATTATAATAAAATATACTTACTTATTTAGAAAAGGAAAAAACACCGAAACAAAATAAACAGAAATAGTAACAGAGAGAGACAGAGAGGGCACATGATACGAAGAAGCTCCCATTAATGAGTTGTTCGAAAGTGGTAACTTTCCTCTGCCATTCCTAAACACATCTCATTTATCGATTCAGACAACTTCACCAACCTCTCTCTCTCTCTCTTCACTTTCTCTCTCTCTGTGTGATCTCTTTCTCTCCGTCTCTCTGTTTTCCCCAGATTCAGAACCTTAGTTGCAATCCATCTACACTTTTGTGGGTACCTCCTCGGATTTTGTCTTCTTCGGGGGTACCCCATTTCTCTCTTTCGCGCCACAGATCAGATCCACACTCCTTCTTTGTACAATCTCTGTTTTCTGCATCTTCTTCACTTGCTTTATTTTTGGGCTTTTTTTTTTTTTTTTGTTCTTCCCTTTGTTTTGATTCGATTATTATTGTTATAATTGCTGTTTTTATTTTGCAGTGTTTACCCTTAATTGCAAAGGTGGCAACTTTGTTTGGGGAGAGGAACCCCACTGCTTCTGAACAGTTTATTCTCTTTTGGGTTTGTTGCTAAGTTGCGTTTGGAAGATGTTATAGGCTGCTGAAGCTTTTTTCTTAATTGGTGGGGTTCATTTGTTGAAACCCAAACACAAAAATGATCAGCAAAACTCTTTTTCTCACTTATGTCTACTTGTTTATCTACATCTTGCTTTCTTCTGGAGTCATATTGTACAACAAGGTTGGTAGCTACATACCACATTTCTTGGTCCTCTCTGGATTTGGGTTTTCTTTACAATGTTTGTGACTAAGAATGGTTAATGAATTTTTTTGTTTTTTTGTTTTTTTCGTTTTGTGCAGTGGGTTCTGTCTCCAAAATACTTTAACTTTCCCCTTCCTATAACGCTCACCATGATTCATATGGGATTTTCTGGGGCCGTGGCATTTTGCCTTGTCCGGGTCTTTAAGGTAAGCCATCTTGTTCTGCTTAGTTCTTTGGAAAATGCTCATTTTTTTTGTTTTCTGATTTCTTCTCTTTTATGATTGCTATTGCGGATTCTTGGACTGACTTAGACTTGTATATCTCCAATGAATTAGGTCTTGTCAAGTTGGCATGTCGAGTCTTGACTTTTGTTTAGTTACTAGTACTATTCCCATGTGTAAGATGAGAGCGATGGTTGTGTTGGAGGATTTAACATTATACATTGGAATCCTTCAGTGATACTCATCACACTGGATTTAATTTTTGTAACAGATTAGTCACATTTAGCTGTCCTTTGTCCTTTCATTGTCAATGTGTCATTGCCTCTAATCTTCAATATATTGGTACAGGGCACGTGCTGAGTGTTTATTTTGGCAGCAAAGATGTTAGATTGCATCCTTAGTTGTATAATTGGTATTACCGTGCACAAATGTAGGCTTTGGTCTTGGTTGCATTTCCTTTCTAATGTAAATAAACCAGTGTGTTGGGAATGGAAAATAATGGGTCATACCCCCCCGTCATTTTTCCAGATTTTTTTTTTATGGAAAACTAAAATGGAGTTATTTCAGAAAATTGAATATATTATCACATTTATTCTGAGCATGAGTAGTAGAGTTGAGAATTTAGTGCTAGCTCACTTTACATTAGCAACCTGAGATTGTAAGTAGGAAAGCTCAATTCAAACTGAGATCCTGATTCTCAATATCAATTTGTAAGATCTCACTGAGCTTTGCATTGGCCATCAAACCACAGCAGCCTGATTTCTTCGTTTTGGACTCACTATGCGAGGATGGAAGACCCTAAATAAATTATACTAGTAGATAACATTATTTAAGTAACAATTCTTGAAGTTGAGCTTGCTCATGTTTGTCAACTTTTTTACTGCAAATTTGCAATCCAAAGATTCTTAGAATATATGCTATGTTGTTAACTAAGTTCCTTGGCCTCACTGCATGAAAGAGAAACTTATCAATCTCTCTTTCTTTCCATTAACAACATTCGTAACATATTGAATATAAGTTAGCTTGGATGATCTTTTATTTCCATAAATGCATGCTGCCTCAAGTTATTTCAGCAAGCACATATAACATATGGTCCAGAAGAGAAGAGAATATTACAGACTTGTCAGTTTTGACATTAAGTGCAATTTGGTATTGGTGTTGGATTATTTCTTTAGATGACATTTTCTATGATGTTATATGCAACTTATGTCAAGCAATAGAAAACAAATGCATAGTATTTACAGAGGAGAATGTTATGAATTGCTGTCTAGTTCATTTGACTTTCTTTCTGATTTTTTTCTTTTGCATATGTGTGCTTCTGTGCTTAGTTTTTACTTTTGCTGAGATTTTATACACTTCATACCATATGTAAAACCTACCCTCTATGCTTGAACTTTTTTCTACCACCCTTGCTTGATTAAATTTGATTATCTGATTATTTGGTTGTTACCTTCACCAATATTCCTTTGTTATGTTATTGCAGGTTGTGTCTCCTGTCAAAATGACATTTGAAATGTGAGTTTGCCTCTGATTTGAATCCTTCTTGAACTTTACTTGTCCTTTGTCAAGCTTCTTTCTGAAACTTTGTTCTTTCTGTGCCAGATATGCAACTTGCGTGGTACCGATAAGTGCTTTCTTTGCATCAAGTCTATGGTAAGCACGACAACATGGGAAAACTGAAAATTTTCTGATTTGAGATAAACATGATTCTCAGATTTGTTAATGGGAGATGTCCCTTGTGTATGTGTTTCCTAACTTTGTTTAATTTGACAAGTATTGGACCGTTGATGTCCCTTTTTACTCTCTAGTTCTGAGAGGTGAAAAATAAACCTGGTTTAGACATGTTCAAGTAGGATTTAGTGAAGTTTGAAACCTCTCATTATTGAATTAAAAGCATCTAAAAATTTGCTCAGTCAAGTGTGGTTCATTCAATTTGTATGTGCTAGATTGAGCATTGATGAAGTATGAATCATCTTAAGCTTGATTGCTGGAAGTTTGCTCGTGTAACCCCATTTAAGTATAGTTCTAATACTTTCAGTCTGGTCAAAAGTTTTCTCATTAGACCATATTAATGTTTATATGAGTGGGGAGTTGCTATTCCAGCATTGACTATGCAAACCTGTAAGATGGATCGCAAGTATGATGTTCAATGTTCAAACCTCGGTCAGAGAATCTAGTATAATCACGATCATCATTTGGTGCCTAGAATTACTATGCATTCCATACTCAATGAAAGGTCAGTCAGAGACCTTAAAACTGATTATTGGCTAGCTTTCTGCAGGCTACTATAATTCTTGGCCTCCAGCTATTATAATACCATTGCACATAAACTATCCATTACGACCTACCAATATTTGGAATTTGTTCAGTTTCTGTCATTTAGATTGTTAAAAGTTTGATGTTTCTACGAAATTATGGTAACTCCTTTGTATGATACTATGATTGAAAGATCACTTTGGAAGTAAGCACTATTTTATTTTATTGTGTATGTTACTCATCCTGTTTTCACATGCGCCTACTAATGTTAATACTTCTGAAGAAACAATTATTTATATGAGCAATATGTCTTTTGTTGCTACAGGTTTGGTAACACTGCCTACTTGCACATCTCCGTGGCTTTTATCCAGATGCTCAAAGCTCTGAGTATGTTTTTATGAACTTCACATGTTTCTCTTAGTATCTGAGCTGTTTCCTAAATTCCAAAACTTGATATTTCAGTGCCAGTGGCAACTTTCACTATGGCTGTTGCGTGCGGCATTGACAAAGCAAGGTGTGATGTGTTCTTGAACATGGTGCTGGTCAGTGTTGGAGTTGTCATTTCCTCCTACGGGGAAATACATTTTAATATAGTTGGTACAGTTTACCAGGTCACGGGCATCTTTGCAGAAGCTTTAAGACTGGTATTAACACAAGTTCTTCTACAGAAGAAGGGATTGACTTTAAATCCTATTACGAGCTTATATTACATAGCTCCCTGCAGGTATTTCTATTAATATTTTCAAGTAGGTTTCTGTTAGACAAATCATTGGTTTCTGCACTGTTGTCATACATACTAAACCCAACCAGAAAATTTGACAGTATATCTGTTACGAATAGCATCCAATTGGTTCATGATCTTCTGGACTTGGGTAATAACTTCTATTCATATGTAAATGCTTTTCTCTCTATCTGCTATTTAATATACAATATGTAAATTGCACAAGTTTTGGGCAATGTAACTGTCATGCACATGTGTGAGTAATGGGCAGCACATTCTTGTATTCCCCCCCCCCCCCCCCCCCCCCCCTCTCTCTAACTAAGCAATTTATGTCATAAATTTAGTTTATTGCCCAACGTCTTAGGTTAAACGAATGGGTGATGTTATTGGGAGTATGAATGCATGTATATCTGCAAACCTTGCATGCCATGTGAACTGCTAACTTTGCTTTTTGTTATATGCAGTTTTGTGTTTCTCTTTGTGCCTTGGTACCTATTGGAGAAGCCTGTGATGGAAGTTTCACAGATTCAGTTCAATTTTTGGATCTTCTTTTCCAATGCAATATGTGCTCTAGCCTTGAATTTCTCCATTTTCTTAGTTATTGGTAGAACTGGTGCTGTAACCATCCGGGTTGCCGGTGTGCTTAAAGACTGGATATTAATAGCTCTTTCAACTGTTATATTTCCAGAATCTGCAATTACTGGGCTGAATATAATAGGCTATGCTATTGGTAAGTTTTGTTTGAATCAGATGCTTTTCAATCTCCCTCCTTCCCTCTCATCATTTCATATTTTTCCTGCAGCACTCTGTGGAGTTGTTATGTACAATTACATAAAGGTTAAGGATGTCCGTGCCTCTCAATTGCCTGCTGAAAGTATTCCAGATCGGATCACAAAGGTCTAATCTCCTTTATTCTTCTTCAACATTTGTATTAGTATTGTCAATAATAATTGGTTAGAGGGCGAGCCTTAGAACACCAGTAAGATTGCTTCTTGTGACCAGAAGGTCACAAATTCGGGTATCAAAAACAGCCTCTTTGAAAAAATGCTAGAGTAAGGCTATGTACAATCAACCCGCACCTGTACCCTTGCAAGTCGGGAAGCCATGTGCACAAGGTTTTCCAAGTCAATAATAATTGGTTAGAGAGAAAAAGTGTGAAACATTTGTTTGAGAAAAGATCATTTCGATGTAGTTTCTTTCTATAGTCTCATTAAAATATCCATTGACCTCCTAAGGAAATTCTTGTATTGCATACAGGACTGGAAATTCGAGAAGAAGTCTTCTGATATTTATGTGCCAGATAACAATAATGACAATGAGGGAAGCAGTGGAGGTAATGGAACAGCCTCTGATATGAACATTGATGAAGAAGCACCACTAATTCCATCATCAAGGTTATCTCATATTGGACGTACGCAGATAACCAACCATGCAACAGGAAAATGAAAACCCAAATACAAGATTCATTTTAGAGTACCCTTTTGGAAAAAAGAACTAGAAAGAGGAAGGCTGAGTCAAATGCACCCTATTCCTCTTATTCTTTTTAGACATTAGGTTTTATAATGAAATCATATGCTTGTTCTTTGTAATTACTTTCCTTTGTAGAATGCATCATCTCTGATTTACGTTTCTGAATCCCGGTGTTTGATCAGAGGTGGAGGACTAAATGGCCTTATATAATCAGGTCCAAACTGAATGCAACTTCGGAATATGAGTAGTTTTAGTTTTTGCTTCAATCTAAATTTTAAAATTATTCATGATTGGATGAAATTGGTACATTTGTTTTGATAATGTTTTATGATTAGTTACTGAAATTAGGCACTATTTGGATTATTTCTTTAATTATGATTTGGTTTTTGAGAAGCTATTTTTCGTATTTGTAATAATTACATTACAATGGTGTTTGAAGAAGTCATTCTAACCGTGGCAACCATTTATTTGTTGATACTTCGGTAGAATGAACAAGATTTTAAATTGTCATTTTATTTGTAAAATTAGTAATTTAAAGAAGAAAAAAAAAAGAATAAAGGAAAGTTGTGCACCAAACAATGTATGAAAAACAGCTTGTTTTAGTACGCCCATGAATAGCCATGAGATTTCTGTCCTTGTAGGAAATAGCTTATTTTGTTTTAATTACAAAGTAATTAGCTGTAATTGCGACACAGTTAAATATTCAAAATTAAGGATAATGGATAGTTAATTATTCTATTTTTTTTTGGTATCCTAATTAATTATTCTAGAAAAAAGTTCACCAATGCCCATGTGGTTTACTTCAGAATCACTTATGCCTCTGTGGTTTTTTTCTTATCACATATGTCCCTGTGGTTTGTAAAAGGATATGTTTTTTATCACATATACCCCTGTGGTTTCTTATTTTTTACAAAGCACAGGGGCATATGTGATAGAAAAAAATCACAGGGGCATAAATGATTCTGAAGCAAACCACAGGGGTATTGGTGAACTTTTCTCATTATTCTATTAATTGTAATAACTATTTGAAATATTCCATTTTATTTTCATTAAATTTCAGGACTTAACTTATGAATATGAATTCCATTTTTTTTACGTCACCACGCCATATGAAAAATTAAAACCGCCCATTGTCAGAATTTAAATGATAAAATTCATAAAACAAAAAAGAGAAAATGATCAACTTAATTATTTGTGGTAGATCTATCAATGAAGTACCATGTTAAAAAGAAGCACGAGATTCAAACCCATATAGTATGTTATAGTAGCTCTGAAAATATTATAGTCAATAAGACCCTATAGACTATAGTAATGCACATATTTTTATTTTACTCTTTTTTTTTTTCTTTTATGTTCTTATAATTTGGGTTCAAAGTCCAGGAAAGCATGGGCTTCTAGTATTGGGCTTGATGTGGTTGTAATAAAGTGTAAATAAAAAAAAGGAAAAAAATTTTGTGATTTTAAATGACAGAAAGTTATCTCATGTTAAGAGAGATACAGACACAGAAAATTTGAATTTTAAATTAAAAAAAACCACCTACTTTATCTCTTCCATGATTTTTATTTTTCTGTGTCTATCTCTCTCCTAAAATGACATAACTTATGTCATTTAAAATGACAAACACCTGTTATCAAAAAAATAAAATAAAATAAAAAAAATGACAAACACCAAACCCAAAAAACAAACGGAAGCATTACTTAAAAAGCTTGGTGTTTCTCATTTAATTTATGTTCGAGAAATTGAGAAATTGTGTAATTTTTTTTAATTTAAAATTTAAATAATTTTTTTTTATCTGTGTCTCTCTTATAAAGGCAATTGTTTCCCTTTCTTAAATTCTTAAATTGGTAAATCAGAACGACATGGAAGAAGGAGAAGGCAGGGATCATGACGGCTGAGACGCACCTTTGACTGGCAACAAGGAAGACGAAGAGTACTCTGTTTTCACTCTGCAACTATAAGCATACCCATAAGGTAAAGCTCTTATCTTTTATATACTTATCCACATTACTTCACCATGGCACCTGTTTGGTTTATTGGGTTTTGAGGTTTTTTATTTTTATTTTTTTATTTATCCATACCATTTTATTCACATTGAAAAATGTTGGGTTTCTTGTTTTTTTTATGTTTTCCTTGTTACTTGTTTGTCTTGTTTTATCAAAGTTGACTCAATCAAATATTATAAAGTGGAGCACTCTCTTTTCTGTGCTGAATTTTGTTTTGCAGACTTGTATAACAATTATGCTTTTTTTTTTCTATGGCCATTGCCCCATTTTATGTTCTTTTTTCACCTGTTCAAGATTAATTATTAGTTGAATCTTGGGGTTAAGGTTTTGCAGTTTTATGTGATAATGGATTCTGAAGGATTGGAGAAGCAGGTTGAAGAGTTGAAATTGAAGGAGAATGATCCACATGCACATGTACAGGGTCAGTTGCAGCTTACATGCTTTTCTGAACTTGTCAACGATGTTAGCATCCATTTTCAGATCATACGCTTTCCCAAGCAGGTTTTTCCCTCATCAAACTCACTTCTTTATGTTTTCAAGGGATTCAAAAAAAGAAAAGAAAAAAGTATGGTGTTTCTTCAATTGGGTCACTCGCAAACTAGGCTTTAGATCAACAAGGAGATAAAAAAAGGAATATAGATCACAAACATTGGTGAAGAATTTAGACTGCTACCTATGTTCCCCCAATATGGATGTTTACTTTTGAAACAAAGTGGTGTCAGTTCTATTTTCAGTTTAGTGATTGCTTTTGGCTTGGAAGAATGAAATTTTTATGGAATACTTTTTGCTATAATGGAAGCAATTATCTTGCAATACTTTGCTTTTTTTTTCCCTCAACATTCTTTTGAGATGAATGGTTATCATAGATATATGTATGGATTGGCTACAACTCTGCAAAATTGGGACACATGTATGCAGCTGCTCCTACTCGTCCTGTAAGTTTTCTCATACCTTTAAGCTCATAATGAGTATGTTTAAAGATTATTTATATGGATCGTGATGTGTGGTGGTGGTGGTGGTAAATACAGAACAATATGGTATCCATTACTTCCATACTTGGAGGGGCTTCTGATAATACTGGGTCTGGCATTGGTCATCGATTAGGTAACTGTTATTATGTTTGGTAGTTAAAATATTATTCCCCAGGTTCATGAATTAACGTTCTTTGTTTCTCAGTGTTGAAGACTGGTCTCAATATAATTTTGGCTTGCAATATTCCAAAAAATAGCCCCATGCTTGAGGTCTGGTTTCTCTCTCACTCACACATGCATGTTAGCAGTTGGTGCAGGGAAGTTATGCTCCTTGTAAATAGTTTTTCTGCTGCTAGAAGTTTTTTTTTTTTTTTTTTTTTGCTTTATTTCTAGAATATGTTGTTGTAAAACATATATTCCTATTTATATTTAAGTCAACATCTCAAAACAAGGAAGTAATATACTTGCAGAAACTTATATAAGAATTTATATTTTTGTTCCAACTATATACTTAGGTATAATTCTTCAGAAAGTTTAAATACATAATTATTATATATTTCTTGTATATTCAAATATTTGATTATTTACTAATATATAGAAATTTGACTATAGCTCTTCTAAATAGTTATTATCCCACTTATCAGTACATTACTGCCATAGTTTTCAGAATCGGCCAAATATACCCAGCACCTGCTTTTGACATTACATTATATATGGCAGAAGATTACAATCAAACACTTGTAATTGATAGTTAATTTAAAATTTTCCCAGTTATTATAACTTTTAAATTGTCTCTTTGCTCAAGGGGTGTAAGGTTTATCTGACCCTACCCAAATGCCACAGTAGGGGGTGCCTTGCTCGCTAAACTACCTTTTTTTTTTTCTCTCAAATTGCTATTCACGCATGATTTACAATCATTTTAAATTCAATATTTATTTTACTTTTATTTTTTTACTTTTTGCAACTTTCATGGATTGCAGATAGAAGTTGAGAAAATATTGGTACAGAAACTCATTAGTCTGGGATATACCAAGTCAAGATTGGCAGCAACATCTTTGTAGCATAGGCTGGGGAGATTTTTAATACATACCAGACATTCATTATCCCAATGTTGTCACCCAATTTAGAAGCCATGGTGGCTATTATAGACTTAAGTTTTGTGACTGGACACAACAAATGTTCCAAATTTTAACAACTTAGAAATACTCTTGTGTGCTGGTTTTTTTTATTATTATAATTTAATATGTTGTTGCTTTATAGAACCTTTCGCTGGTAATGATAATGATGCTGCTTTGAACTTTGCCTATTTTTCCTTGAACCTGTAGCATTCTTCTTTAAGGAAAGCTTGTGGGAACAACTGCTATTCAATATGATATGAATTATTTAAATTAATGATATTTCATTATGATATCAATCCCCCCCCCCCCCCCCCCCCCCCCCCCCACACCCACCCAAAAGAAAGCCCTTTTAGTAGCTGTTAAAACATGTCTTAAACAATTGAGCATGTGAAAATTCGGGTGTTTTTCTAGAATGGATCCATTGTTATCTGATCTCAATAAGCTTGGATAACTAAACCATTAAAAGGTTAATGGGGTTCGTGTTGGAATGTTCAAGTGAGATGAGTCTTATATTGGTTGGTAATGGGTTAAGTGAAATATATATATAAGTGGGAGGATTCATGAACTCAATATCTTAAGATTTTGGGTTGAGATATAGTGTTGGACTCATTTGATATGGTGGTGTAGTCTTAGTCAATTGGTGGTGGTCCTCCGCCATGGGCTCTAATATTAGATATGGCTCATACTTCACATTCAGATGAAAATCCTTGTTGGCGGAGTCAGTAGAAAGCCCGTAGAGGCCTGATATTGTTGTGGACCTCTGACTCATTGTATTTATCTTTTTCTTAGTGGTTTGGGCTTGAGTCCATGAATAGTTATTGTTAGGATTTTCTAAATCTTATTTATATTCCTTTGTAAACCGAGTGACTTGTAACGAGTGGCGTCGATTTTCTCTCTTTCTTTCTTTTTTATGTTTTGTCGATTCGTGTCTCGATTTTCAATAGTTCGAAGGGTGAAGAGTTTGAGGAATTTAATTATTTGATTCCTCAGATAGCATAAACAGAGAAAGTATATGCCTAACAGAAGGGACTCCAACCTTAATTTTATTATTATTTTATGTAAATCACTCCCATATAGAGGTTCACCAAAGTCAGCCCCATTTGCATATGTTTGCTGAATTTATCACTGGTTTGGAACATGTGCTTAGAGCCATTTGGACTTGTAGTTGGTTTGATCACAAAGAATCTTCGCATATGGTATGCATTTGGTATATCAGACAGATGTTTAGAGCCATTTGGACTTGTAGTTGGTTTGATCACAAAGAATCTTCGCATTTGTACTAAAAAAAAAAAAAAAAAAAAAAATTAAATCTTAGCATATGGTATGCATTTGGTATATCAGACAGATGTAAAGAAGTTTCACAACAAAATATCACTAATTTCAAGTGGTGAAGTATTCATACTATAATTACATTGCATGCCCAATACCACCAATATATATACTTCACCACTTGAAATTAGTGATATTTTGTCTCACGCACATGTGTGTGTCACCTCGTTGACAGCACCCTAAAAAAAAACCACAACTACGAATATTTTGTTTATGTAATATACCGAAAGATAACACCATCACACACCTCGTTGACAGCACCCTAAAAAAAAACCACAACTAAAAAAAACAACAAATACTAATATTTTGTTTATGTTAATACGGAAAGATAACACCATCAACACAAAACATGTACACTATACATATTGGAGTCCGTTTACTGCTAGCAATTTTTTCCTTCTCAAGTCTTTTCTGCTGCACAAATATTATGCTTCCTGTGTATGATGGTTAAACCTTCTTGTGCCCAGCCATCTTCTTCGTTGTGTAGCACCCAACTTCTTTATTTTGTTACCAGTGAGGTGAGGCTATTCACCCTTAAAAAGACTGCAAAAAGATCAAAAATCAAATTATACTCCCCACCCCCAACCAAATGCATTGTGAGAAAATCAAGTTATTTTTGTTTTGTCAGTTCACCTTGGAATTTTGTTCATCTAGTGTCTACACTAAGAAAAGAAAAATTAGAAATTGTTTTAGATAAGTTGAAAGGTACAAACTCTTTGGTATTTGTATTGGCGAGTATATATTTAGGGTTATATTTATCTCATTTTACATGAGAGAAACAATTTTCTTACACACACAAAAAAGAGTAGCTCCTACCACTCTTTTTTCTCTCTCCTCTTCTCTGTGAGTTCCACTTGTAATTTTATTTCTACAACATGAAATAATTATTTTCCTACAACATAAGAAAAGTATTTTCCATATATTTAACATGGCCATATCTTCTTTGTTTTAGATAAGTTGGAAGGTACAAACACATGGATATATTGAAAGATTTATAAATCATAGTTGCTTTCCTAATCTTGTCAAAAATGACAAGAGCCTTCCCCCAATAAATGGCGTTTGATGCGTAAAGGACATACCTGCTGGGAGAGAGCTGAGTTGAATTATCAAAGTTGGGACTTGGGAATAATAGTTGTCACTGTGGTTAACGGGAATGGATTTTGTAGATTTAAATTTAAAGATAAAGATTTGAAATGGCTAAAATCTTAAGTGCTTCTTTTGTTTATGGTGATAGTTTTGCTTATATTATGGTTAAAATCTTAGGTGATAATTGTTATAATATAAAGTTATCATTGACTAATAAATAGTCATACTCATTCAACTGTCTTGTAGCTTCAATATTGTCTAATATTTTATAGTGTGACAAAAGGACACAAGCTGATTGAGGAATTTGGAGTCTCGAAGTCAAATCTAGCAAATTTGATTTGTGTTGTTTATGGTTTTTCTTCGGAATTTGTAATAGTAGTTTTAGTTTAAAGGGGAAGTAACTACAATAGCAATTGCTTTGTATTAAGATTGGTACAGATGGGCTGGATATTTTGTGCAATGGGTTTTACTCACATTATATAACTATAATTTATATCCCGATTAATTCGACACTGTATAATAGTTTATTGCAAGAAAATTATATAAATATTTCAAATGCGAGAATAATTTTTCTTTGTTATAATTTAAATATAAGTTCGTAGCTATTGAGGCATTTAGATTAACAAGAGATTTTTTAAACCATGTCTAATTAATTGACAGACTTCAAAAACGAGAAGTCCGCTCAAGTGTTTTATTCTGTGACATGATCAAAGATGCAAATTTGATTTGATGTGCGGAACAGTATGAGGTTATGAGCATATTTTTGATTAGCAAATGCTTTGAAGTTCCAGCGTTTCTGGGAAGAGTTGTTAATATTTCAGTCAATACATATTCATCTCATCTTAAACTTTTTTGCTTTTGTTAAACTTTTTTCTTTTAAATGCTAGGATGATCAGTCTCCTAGTTGTGATAAATGATGAATTAGGAAGAAGGCCTCAAACCAGTTAAAACTTGAAAATTACTGCTTAGAATTAATCATATATGAACTATTATAGCACTCTACTTAAGTAAAAATAAAATTTTGTTTAGTTCTAAGCAAAATGCTTACCTAGGTCGCTTATTCACTCTGATATGTGTTCACTTTTACGCCTTACTCAAGTCAAATTTCTTTTTTGATGAATGTCTAATGAAAGCATGATCACTGGTTATTTTGAGATTTATCAAAATGACATAACTACATTAGTGATTTAATAAGCATGATATACTTATGAGTGTAAACAACATATTAGCTGTTCTCTCTCACCTTAAATTGAGAATTCAATTTCATGGTAAGCACTTCATGCTAAGAGCTTGTCAAATTTGGAGTGAAAAGTAATTATTTATTAAACCATTTAGCTAATATTCATATGAAGACAAGAGAAAAAAAATACGAAATTTATCTCGTTTTTATGTGAACGGAGAGATATGTATTTTGTTCATCTGTCACATTTTTCAAAACATAGAGGCAAACAAAAATAGATATATGCAATAGCAGTTCAAACTAAAATAGTTTGTTTCAAGATTCAAAGCAAAATTCTAGCAGTGTCATGCACCAATTTAACCAAGGAATTGTAGCAACAGAACCAAACATACTTCAAAATGTTTTGATTTAAAATATCCTCACTATAACGTTTAAGAATAACCAATTCACAGCTTAGCCAGAAAATTTTGTGAAGGGAGCGAAATCTCAAATGTAATATTCTTTGTAAGTTATAACTATTCATGTAACCAAAAGAACAAAAATGATATTCACAAACAAAAACTTTTAAAAATTTGAAGGGGAACGATCCCTACAAATGACAGCCAGTCAGCCACAACTAAAGCTTTATATAAATTTGAAGGAGGGCAGCTCGCTCCGTTATTGCTTTCCATCATCCATTTGTTCATATTGACATCACTATAATGACTTAATCCAGAAACATCTCATGAGGAAAATACCTTCCTGATATCTTTCTTTATTTGTTTCTTGTGTTGTGTGTGTGAGAGAGAGAGAAGAAAAAATAAATAAAAAATTCTTAAAATTGCTTCTTTTGGAAAAATGGTGACAAGGTATCAAGATTTCTGACGGAAGCTCCTCAGATTCACCTTTTTCAACACGTAATAAGGAACACTAATTGAACTTCAGAAATTGGAACGATAGAATTAGAAGTTTTATGGGATCTGGTCAATTCATCATTGGAGCTTTAGTTCAGACTCAATACCAACAAAAAAGCACAAGGCATTCATGGAAAAGTGGAAACTCATTTACAGCATCTAAAGCAAAAAAGCCATAAACTACTAATACCATCCCTAGCCAATGAAACTCATCCTGTTTGGGTGAAGCCACCCTCTCATCGAAAAATCTAAAAGGCAATTCAATATTAGAAGCTTTTCTCATTTGCCAATACAGGGGCCTCTGACATTTTAAACTAATGACAAAAATAAATCTAGAGGTGTGATATTTTCTCAGAGAAACAAAGTAGTATGACATTATTATTAATGTATGCATGTCTAAATGTGGGAGTCTTAAGTAATAAACCGTCAAAACTGAAAAGATTAAGGAACTCAACAAATGGATACAAGATTTTTTTGCAATAAGAGAACTGAGATATGTATGTATGCACATCCAATGATAGAACAAAATCAAAGTATCATAAAAAATAATAACTTTTTTAAGTATAATACAAAAAAATATAAATTATACAAAATACAGCAACCAAATATGACAATTATAAATATAAATTATATAATTTATTTAAAAAATCAAAGTATCATACAAACAATAAATTATAAGCAACACAGGACAACC